AGTTCAAGCCCAGCCTGGTCTACATAGTGAGTTCCAGGACAGCTGGGGCTACAGGGAGACCCTGTCTTAAAAAGACAAAAAAAAAAGAAAAGAAAAAAAAAATAGGTGTTGGGTAACTAAGGGAGTTCAAACAGGAAGGTAGAAAGTCAATTTTTTTTGGTATAAATTTTACTTGGAGAGTGGTGTAGATTAAAGGAACACATAATAGAAGCAGAAAGAATTTGGAATATCCGTACAAGAGAAAAACAGCTTAAGCTAAAGACCTGAGTCTCACTGGAAGGAGGAGGTAGAACCACTTTAAGAAACTTTAAGAATAAGTTGGAAACAGATTGCATGTAAAAACAAAGCTGGACATGGTAGCGCATGCCTGTAGTCCCAGCACTTGGGAGGCATAGGCAGGCGGATCTCTGTGAGTTCAAACCCAGCCTGGTCTACATAGTGAGTTCCAGGACAGCTGGGGCTACAGGGAGACCCTGTCTGAAAAAAGACCAAAAACAAAACAAAACAAAACACCCTAAAAGACTTAAGATCAATGATTAATCACTTCAGATTAATGATTACAAATAAATATCTCTGTGAAGAAACAGCAGCCAATTTTAAGATATGGATGAAAACTAAAATTTTTGTTCAAATTGTCAAAGTAGAAATGAAATATTTTAGTAGCAGTATGTTTGACATTTAAAATTACATTTTTAATTCTGTAAACATGCTAAGGCCAAAGTAATATAGCATGTAGTATGTATGCTCATTCTTATAAAAGATTATTTAAGAAATTTTGACATACACAAAAGTATTTTAAAAAATAAATTAGTTGCTCAACTGTTGAAATCAAATTACCAGAAGATTATAATAAATCAACTCAACTTTTCTTGCTGTTAGTTTTCTTATGACTTAATGACTAATTTCTTCTTTAAAGGATGACTTTGAACAAATGTGAGGTAAAACCTTTTCTTTAGCAGCATGTAAGCAATGTCTGTGATTTAATAACCAGGTCAAATTCCTGGAATATATGTCTGCCATTTTAATTTTTTTATTTCAGCAGTTTTAATAAGTGAGCCATTTATGATTTTCTACTCTTGAGATCTAGCAAATCCCACAAAGCAAATTCATAAGGCAACCCTGTCATCATAAAACAAGTAACACTAGGAATTTCAAACTGCAAGTCATTCATATGGAACGTGATTAAAATTTCAGAGCATTTGAATTTTTGATTAGGGATAGTCCATCAAATATTCTAATATCTGAAAAACTACACTCTGAAACACTTCTGATTCCAAGAATTTCAGGTAAGGGATACTCAACACATATATTATAAAACTCAACATTATAACATACATTATAATGTATGTTATATGTCCAGCTCCTGTTCCACATATCATCAGATGCAAGTCAATGGAGGAGGCCTATGTAGCCTTTTAAACAAATAGTAGTGGAGCAACTGAACACCCATAGCCAAAATGAGCCTCCAACTAAACCTGTTCCTTTACAAAAATGAACTCAAATGTATTATGCACTAAAATGTAAAACTACAGAACTCTTAGGAAAAAATAATCAGAAAAATTATTCAAGATATAATTTAAGTTAGATACAAAAGTATGCTCATAAGTTTGATAAATTTGACCTCATCGAGATGATTTTTTTTTGTTCTATGAAAAACCATATTAATTAGAAGATGAAAAGAAAAATCAAAGTACAAGAAGACTATTTGTATCTACAAAAGATTTGAATTTAAATACCTCCTAAAAGTAAGTATTAAAAACCAGTGTACTAGCTAGCAATTGCTGACAGCTCCTCAGCTAGTGGGGGGCTTTGTGTCTGTGGACCCACACCCAAGAGTATTCATGAACAAACTGGACTTGGTGGACTTAAGAAAAAAGAGGAC